GTATAATATATTTCTTTGGCCAGACAGACAGTGTATAAAAATTTATTTTTAAAAAACAAAACAAATTACATTGTAATACTATAAAGTTGATTTACAACCAAAACTGTATAGGATATGAATTATTTTCAAGAACAACATTGGTAATAACTGACGTTACATTCAAGTTAAAATGTAGCCAGTGATTTGAGTGGACATGTGTTTAATCTGTATTCTCTACAAATATAAACTCAAAACTTGGAAAATCTTTACATAATATGTCACTTTACATGTTACTAGATGTAATCATGTTTTTTTTTTTTTTTACCTGCAATGGTAGAAACTGAAATAGCCGAGGTGTTTGGTCGTTCTTACCATCTGTCAGCCATCTTGGTTCACTGACTATTTTTTCCCATTGCAATGACCAGCCAATAGGATTTTTTTGTATGGGATGATGTAATAGCTTCCACTAGAGTGGATTATATGCAACAATGCCCAAAATTGCAGGCAAATATATAGAAAAAAAAAACACCTTTAAACAGCTGTAGTGACCTCTATGCACGAAAGGGTTAAAGACAATGAAGCAATCCTGTCTCTAAGAAATGATTTCTGCTGTTCTTAAGTTTTAATTATCTCTTTGTTGAAAAGTTCAAACCAGTGCCAGCCATTTTCTGAATCATAGATGGTACGGACCAATTAAAGAGCAAAGGTTTTAGTTCAATCTCCAGTATCTAACTTGTTTTTTTTAACCATTTCCCTCTCTTCAAAACACTTGGTTGTTGTTTAATTGCATGCTTTTATGTGGCTCATATTCTTCTTACGCAAACCAAACGCTCAGAAGTCTCAGCTCATGGGCTGCTGTTCTGAAATGTTCCCTGTCAGAAGCTCTAGAGATGATTTTGAATTCATTGTTACCTCATTAATCACAGAATATGCCTTGAAGTAGAGCAGCTTTAAAACCACGATCATTCCTATTGAGCAATAATCTTTTTTGGATTAAAAAAGATGTATAATAGCCATATGGCAGAAACAATTGCTTTTCTACCCACTTGTAGAAAACATTCTTGTAAATAATAAGCATTAGTTATTAATTTTGTGTTTAATACACCGTTCTCAGRAACTTCTTGAAATGAAGTGTTAGTTGTTTAGTTGTGATCTTTGTGGCGACAGCAACACTGTTGGAATGCTACTACAAAAGTGAAAGAGGCTAAGACTAGAGGATGTGAGACATCCAGGTTGACTAGGAAACAACTTTTAACCTGATGTACCAACATTTGAACGTGGAAGCGGCTGTCACACCTGAGATAGAGCAAAGTCCAGGGTGTGCCAGGACATCATCATCATCTTCACCACCTGAGGATGAGCATTGTCACTGAAAAGCCCTGACAGACTTAACAGCAAAGTAATATTTAATACTTTACTGGGGTGGCTGCCGGAGTCCGGCGGGTGGTCGGTTGGGGGTGGGCACCTGGCCGTTGGTAGGGTGTGGCGGTGGTCCGGGGCGTGGCTTCGCTGGGGTGGGGGGCTGGTCAGTCGGCCTGGTGCAGCCCRGGCTGGGACTTGGCTGTCTGCTCCTCTTCACCCCAAATTGAAGGGGTCTACCTCCTGGTTTCGGATGTGAGCTACCCTCTGAATGGGGCGGGTGCATATCCTGGACCTGGGGGTATAGAGTATGTATGGGGAGAGTGAGTGGAATGTGGCATTCATCTTGTGCATCTTGAATGAGTGGGTGAGAGGATGAGGGTGGGGCTGTGTGATTGTGTTTATGTATGCTTGTGTTTTTGTCAGGCTGGGACTTGGGCAGCCCATTCTTAGGGATCATTCGAGGGCCCATTGCTTCCCCTGCTGCACTGCCCTCTGGTGGGTTGGGCCCGCCGGCACGCTGGTGGCTCTCGTTGTCCGGGGCTGGGTGCTTGGGCATGCTCGGCCCGGTGGGGCTTGGGTCCCCCTGGCCCTGTCGGACCTTGGGGGGTGCGCCCCATGGGCCCGGGCCTCTGTGTCCATGCCTGGATCCACTCTGGCACGGTGGGTAACGGCGGGGCCTGTGAGTTCATCGCTGCTGGCCCCAGGGCTTACTGTGTATGGTCGCTGGTGGGGCTCTCCCAGTTCTCTCCTGTGGTCCCCTTTGGGGGGTGGGTGGGCGGCCCTTCCGGCGCGGGCGTCTCCGCGCTTGGGGTCCCTCTCGGGGTCTTTGGCACTGGTCTCCCTTATGTCGGCTTCGGGCTTTGTGGGTCAGGTCTGTGGTCCTCCACAGTCACTTTGAAACATTGCATTGGAGAGATCTTGTATATACATGCATGCTCACAACCGCACACTTTATAGAAGAATTAAAAAATAAATAAATAATAATACTTTAATCGATGCCTACGTTTGCCTTTTCATTCATTGTCTGTACTTTAACTATTGCCTGTTCTTTTTTATTGCCTGTATTTCCATGGTGTTTTAGTCACTGTTAAGGTCATCATAGGTGGAGCATAATGATGTTAAATATTGTCAAATATCATTTAATTGGTATAACACTGCTGTGCCCTAATGTAAATTGTTTTAATTAGTTTTTCAGGACCTGTGCTGCTGACTTCTTGGTCAGGTCACCCTTGGAAAAGAGATCTTGATCTCATTGATGTTTTATTTTTTAAATATCTGGTTAAATAATGGTGATATATGCAGTATATACAGTATAATACAAGGGCAGCTGACCTAACACTGAAGATCACAACCAAGTTGCTCRCCTATGGCTTACACCCGTTGTCTTGTGAAAGTCTGCTAGAAGAGGTGAATGCAAACTACTAGCATCTTCAAAGTCACCAGTTAGATGGTACACACCACAGCAACAGTTATCACTGAAATACTTGGCTTGATATCCACYACAGCTTTGTTTTCTATGGAAAGGTTAGGCGTTAAGATGAAGGCAACACAAAGAGAAATCAACCAGCTGAAAGGGACAAGCTTTTTCTCATCTTGCCCATACCACCCATTACTTACCCCCATTTTCTCCTCACCTCTAAGACCCTTAGTATAATGAAACTGTAACTAAAATAAAATAAAAAAAGAAGAAAAAAGTGGTGCTTTGTTAAAGCACCAGTACCCAACCCTGACGCTAGATGACAGCCTTCCCTTGTGTTTAACAATGGCAGCTCCACAACAATGAGGCTACAAAGCAAAATGGTTCCAGTGCTATTATAGCCCACATCTGGAAACCTTAAGACATCCTCAATGTTGAGAATGTCAGGGAGAGAGTGGGGGGGAAAAAAATCAAGTTTAAGATGATGGTTGAATAATTAGTTCTGAGCTCAAACTTGTGACACTTAATCACCTCTATGTTTGAGTAGTTTAAGTGCTCATAACRGAGTGATTTTTGTAAAACAAGGTAKTGTGATTGTGARAAATCTGTCTCTGGTTTTGACCCAAAGGTTTGTAACTCTGTGTGTAAATCA